CCCCTCACCATCACCCGCGCCTGTAAGATCCTTCCCCTCACCATCAACCCCGCCTGAAGATCCTTCCCCTCACCATCACCCCGCCTGTAAGATCCTTCCCCTCACCATCACCCCCGCCTGCAAGATCCTTCCCTCACCATCACCCCGCCTGTAAGATCCTTCCCCTCACCATCACCCCCGCCTGCAAGATCCTTCCCCTCACCATCACCCCGCCTGTAAGATCCTTCCCCTCACCATCACCCCCGCCTGCAAGATCCTTCCCCTCACCATCACCCCGCCTGTAAGATCCTTCCCCTCACCATCACCCCCGCCTGTAAGATCCTTCCCCTCACCATCACCCCGCCTGTAAGATCCTTCCCCTCACCATCACCCCCGCCTGCAAGATCCTTCCCCTCACCATCACCCCGCCTGTAAGATCCTTCCCCTCACCATCACCCCCGCCTGTAAGATCCTTCCCCTCACCATCACCCCGCCTGTAAGATCCTTCCCCTCACCATCACCCCCGCCTGTAAGATCCTTCCCCTCACCATCACCCCGCCTGTAAGATCCTTCCCCTCACCATCAACCCCGCCTGAAAGATCCTTCCCCTCACCATCACCCCGCCTGTAAGATCCTTCCCCTCACCATCACCCCGCCTGTAAGATTCTTCCCCTCATCATCATCCACCTCTAAGATCCTCCTCGTCCCTTCACCATCACCAATGTAAGATCCTCCTCGTCCCCTCACTTCCCCTCGTCACAGTGGCACTCCGCCTCGCTGGTGCCACACCATACATCGTCTCTATCCCTTAAACCATCCGTGAAATTAATTGGGGGGGATGGAGTGCAAGCCCTTCCTCCCTCCCCCTCCTTCCTTCCCCCTCCTTCCCTGAACATCTCAACACTTCTTTCCAAATCACTCAGTCACGGTGCTGCTTTCATTGTACCTTATCTCTCTCTCTCTCTCTCTCTCTCTCTCTGACAGCTATTCCTCTCTCACAATAATGAACTATTAATACAATCAGTTTTCACATACACACCAGTGAAGAGGCGAGGCCAGTAGCTGTGAATCGACCCCTGCTATCACAATTGAGTACACACACGCGCGTACGGACGTACTAACGCACATAATTGGGAAACTTTGAGAGCGTAAGAAACTTTCTGAGAAAAGTATATTGGGAGGAAGAAGTGGCGAGCAAAGGTATATACGAAAGGATGGAAATAAGAGAGTCAAGGTGTCAGGAGGGAAAGGAAAGATGGATATAAAGAATGAAAGAAAAAAAGAGAATAATTTATTCCTAGGATGACTCGAGTCCGGAACACGTTCGTACAGCATAACAACATCAAGGAAATAGTCAGTTGACCAAATGAAATCACTGGCCCACAGATGGCTCCACCTTCATCATGTTCCCTATTTGTGTCTCATGACAATGAAAAAGCTTTCAAATGAGCTGATGTAGGTAAAAGCCCTTAACTTGTAAATATAGTAACCCTTAATGTAAAACCCTGAGTAAGTGAGAGAAAGAGAGAGAGATCCCATGGTTCACTCAGTAATGCATAGTGGCACCAACGGGAGGTGCCATACAGCCTTGAAGAAATATTTTAGCAAATTAAACTACAGCAAACCAAGAATATAGCATGAGAGCTACACGGTAATACACAGGAATAAGAAAGGAGCGCCGAAAGACAATCTGAAAACGATCTTATAGCAGCACAGCCAAAATTAAACCATAGTTACTTCCATCGTTACGTAAGAAAAAAAAAACCGTGAAGAACCAATCCATATCGCTGAAGGAAAACTGACGGAGAATGAGGGAGAAGTATGTTGAGAACTTAAAAGATTTCAAGAAGCAATCAGGAAAGAGATACCGGAAGACACTGTAGGTGGAAGACAGCAACAGGTGCTACGAACTTCCAAACACCGGAGAAGTGATCAAACCGATAGAGGAGCTTAAAAGCAGTGGCACCAGACATTTTTTTTCAACGAACCGACTGTATCCCACCGAGGCAGAGTGACCTAAAAAGAAAAACGAAAGCTTTTCATTTTAAAGTTTAGTAATTTCTACAGACGAAGGGGTTACTAGCCCCTTACTCCCGGCATTTTAATCACCTCTTAGACACGCATGGCTTACGGAGCAACAATTCTGTTCCATTTCCCCACAGAGATAAAAACAACCCATCCTCATGACAAACAAGGAACGGACGGGGATTGAACTCGCCATACGTTCAATCTCCGTCCGTTCCGTGGTTTCTTTGCCGTCGTATTATTAGGATTTCGTAAGTTGTATGTTCGTGGGTGCTGAGAGGAGCAGACCCATCGTCTGACCCAACAATCAAAGCAACTGCCCCAAAAAATAAAAATAAAGCAAGTGTGGTCACCATACATAAAGAAGGTGACAAACAACAGGTCGGTATTTTTAACAAACATACTGTCAAGAGTTCTGGAGAAGATAGTGAGGTAAAGGAGCACTTGGAGAGAGGAAGATTCCCTAAAGTAAACCAAGGGAGATTCAGGGATGGAAAATCCTTCTTTACAAGGAGCCACAGATAAAAATACCAGTCTGGGTTGTGTGTGCTGCATCTTCTTGGACTACAAGGAAGCACATGACACTGTACCACACCAGAGTAATCCAGGAACAAACGAAAGAGAGTAAGGAGGTGGGGACTGAGTCACTGTTTATATATATATATATATAAACCCCAGCACCACCACCACAGAGTCTGGCCATTGTGTTCGCACAAAAGTACGGACACACTTGCTTCTCTCAACATGGCCTAATAAAAGCAGGTACACCACTGGAGTGTCTTACAGTCAGTACAAATCTGCTTGCTCTCACTTTTATATTTCTATTATCCTAATTTACGTTTTTTGTAAGATATCGTCAGCAGCAGCAGCAGCAGCAGCATGACAGGAACAGTAGTAACAGCAACAGGACAACAGTAGAAACATGACGAACAGTAGTAACAGCAACAACAGAACAGTAGCAACATGACAAACAGTAGCAACAGCAACAACAGAATAACAGTAGCAGGAACAACAGGACAGCAACAGTAGCAGCAGCAACATGAAATGAACAGTAATAACAGCAAAACAGAACAGTAGCAACATGACAGGAAGAACAGTAGTAACAGCAGCAACAGAATAACAACAGTATCAGCAGCAACAGAACATCATCATCAACAACAACAGCATCATCATCATCAGCACGATCATTATAATAATTATTATTACACTTCATAAAACAAATATTACATATATATATATATAAACAAACGAGTCACCGAAGCTTTATCAACAAAATTTTTTAACTGAATAAAAAAATATATACATATATGATGAAGCAATTACGTCAGTAACTACAGAAACAAAGACAGTGTTTTTGTTATATTTCCTGGAACAATTGCAGAAGTAACGTCAAAAACAAGCACAGTGTTTTTGTTATATTTTACGGAACAATTGTCAGTATCTACATAAACTATTTTTGTTATATTTAATGGAACAATTACCCCAGTAGAGAAACAAACACAGTGTTTTTGTTAATTTCACTAAACTACTCCAGTAACTACACAAACACAGTGTTTTTGTTAATTTCACTAAAACTACTCCAGTAACTACACAAACACAGTGTTTTTGTTAATTTCACTGAACAACTACTCCAGTAACTACACAAACACAGTGTTTTTGTTAATTTCACTAAACTACTCCAGTAACTACACAAACACAGTGTTTTTGTTAATTTCACTGAACAACTACTCCAGTAACTACACAAACACAGTGTTTTTGTTAATTTCACTGAACAACTACTCCAGTAACTACACAAACACAGTGTTTTTGTTAATTTCACTGAACAACTATTCCAGTAACTACACAAACACAGTGTTTTTGTTAATTTCACTAAACAACTACTCCAGTAACTACACAAACACAGTGTTTTTGTTACATTTCACTGAACAACTATTCCAGTGACTACACAAACAGTGTTTGTTTTTGTCGTATTTCACACACACATTTATATAAAATAATTTTCGCCTATTTAGGTTAAACGCTAAACTCGTAAGGGTCACAGCGCCTGGGGAATGGGAGGTAATCAGGGTTGATCCAAGGGAGGGGTAGCTCCAATTCCTTGGATCAAGACCCCCTGAAGGACTGGAACTGATTCAGTCTTACATTCCCATCCTGGAATGTAAGACTGGACTCTTGGAATGACTAAGGCTGACTGGAATCCTGGAATGTAAAACTGACTGGAACCTTGGAACGTAAGAATTGACTGGAATCTTGGAATGGCTAAGAATGACTGGAATCCTGGAATGTAAAACTGACTGGAACCTAGGAACATAAGACTTGACTGGAATCTTGAAATGGCTAAGAATGACTGGAATCCTGGAATGTAAAACTGACTGGAACCTAGGAACATAAGACTTGACTGGAATCTTGAAATGGCTAAGAATGACTGGAATCCTGGAATGTAAAACTGACTGGAACCTAGGAATGGCTAAGAATGACTGGAATGTAAAACTGAAATCTTGAATGTAAGATTGGAATCCTGGAATGTAAGACTGGAATCCTGGAATGTAAGACTGGAATCCTGGAATGTATGCAAGACTGTTATTACCGTCACTCTCACAACTACCAAGTCACTGGCGTTACACAGGTCACTAGCTTTACGTGTGTCACTGTTACGTCACACAGGTCACTACATCACACAGGTGACCCCAGGTGAGTGTAAGGTCAAGCAACACTACTCAGCTTACAGAGTTCACGCTCAGCTTACTCACCAAAGTCATACTCAGTTTACTCACCAAGTTCACACACTCAGCTTACTCACCAAGGCTGTACTCAGCTTACTCACCAAGCTCACACAATCAGGTTATTCACCAAGTACACACACTCAGCTTACTCAACAAGGTCGCACTCAGCTTACTTACCAAGTTCACTTACTCAGCTTACTCACCAAAGTCGTGCTCAGCTTACAAAGTTCACACACTCAGGCTACTCACCAAGGACGTACTCAGGTTACTCACCAAGGTCGTACTCAGGCTCCACGTCCTCCACAATGGTCTCCATGCCGCCGTAGTTGAGAGAGTCCACCTGGTCTCCCAGTCCTCCCCTCATTTTAATGTCTCCTCTGGCCGCTTTCCACCACTCCTCCTCCTCCTCCTCTTCTTCCTCCTCCTCCTTGGCTCTCCTCTCTCTCTTCCTCCTCCTCCTCCTCCTCCCGCTTCTCCTCGCCTCTCCCTCCTCCTCCTCCTCCTCCTTCCAGGGCCCTCTCACCCGTGTTTTTTGTATATTACCAATCTTTTACGATTTTCCAGCGCCTCTGTCACAGTCAAAACAGTGGGACCAGATCTCCGTTTTTTCCCTCTCCCGTTGCAATGTTTGTCCCCTTCTTGTTTTTTTCCGCTGAGCTTTCTACGAGTGCTTTTTTCCCCCCTCGCAGTCTGTTTTTGCTTGTTCTTGTTACTCCTGTCAGTGTTTTATCAGGGACCTTAACCTAACACAGAGAAAATTAGGGATGTTTGTGTTTAATTTCTACACACAAGTGTTTTATCACGTATACCAGGGCATATTCTCACATATATTCGGATATACTGTCATGTATATTCGGGCATGTTCTCACGTATATATACGTATATTCTTACCAATTTCTAGGTATATTTTCACGTGCAAGTGGTCATTTTCTCGAGCATGTACGGGTATATTCTCAAGCATATTTGGGCTTAATCCATCGTATACTCGGGTGTTTCCTCACATATCTTTGTTTATATTCTCACATATTCACATATGTATCCGAAAAAGAGTCTCACATGTACTGATTTACATACTCAAAAAATATATATATACATACACATATACTTTTGATTCCTTTACTGTCGTCTTTATTCTCGTCTTCCATTTTTTCACTCTCTTTCCTTGCTTCACCTTTCTCTTCTCTTTTTAATTTCCAAAAAAAACACTGGTCACTTAACAAAACACTGACATTAATTAATCTATGTTTGTGTGTGTGTGTGTGTGTGTGTGTGTGTGTGTGTGTGTGTGTGTGTGTGTGTGTGTGTGTGTGTGTGTGTGTGTGTGTGTGTGTGAAATTGTAAGAAAAACGTGGAAATTATTTGTATACGAGAAAAAATTTTTGTAGGCGGCCATGAAACGATAAGTAACGATAATAAGGCATAATAAACGATAATAAATCATAAACGATAAGTAACGATAATAAGGCATAATAAACGATAATAAATCATAAACGATAAGTAACGATAATAAGGCATAATAAACGATAATAAATCATAAACGATAAGTAACGATAATAAGGCATAATAAACGATAATAAATCATAAACGATAAGAACGATAATAAGGCACAATAAACGATATAAATCATAAACGATAAGTAACGATAATAAGGCATAATAAACGATAATAAATCATAAACGATAAGTAACGATAATGAACGATAGGTAATGATACACAGTAACGATAATATACGATAAGTGACGATAATATACGATAAGTAAATAAACGACAATAAACGTTATGTAACGATAATAAACGTTATGTAACTATAATAAACGACAAGAAGGATAATAAAAGGGGAAACGAAACGATAAACGACAATAAACAGTAGGAAGCGAAAACGATAAGAAAGTATAACAAAAAGCGATAAACTACGACAAAACGACAAGAACCGATTAAAAAAAAGAATGAGAAAAGACAGAGACAATAACGAAGAAGGAAGTGTAAGACAATAAGAAGAATGAGAGAGAACGCTGAGATGAGAAGCCAAGGATAATAAAACATACAATAATAAACTACATATAAAACATGAAATGTAACTAAAAAACGACGAGAAAACCTAAGAAAAACGAAAAAAACAACGATAATATAAATAATAAAAAACGAGAAAAAAAGAGCTAAAATATATAATAAAAAATACGCTAAAATGTGACATAAAGAAATACGTTAAAATATAAAAAATAAAAACAATAAAATCAATGGAATGAGAAAAAATAAGACGGAATAAAAAACGAAAAAGGAAAAAAAAGGGAAAATGATTATAACTAAAGATAACCAATATTTTCAATAATAATAATAATATTAATTATTATAAATAATAATAATCACAAAAATAATAATGATATAAATAATAATAATAATAATAATAATAATAATAATAATAAACAATAATAATAATAATAATAATAATAATAATAATAATAACAATAATAACAATAATAATAATAATAACAATAATAATAATAATAATAAAAATCAATAATAAAATCAATAAAAATTTAAATAAAACAATAATAATAATAATAATAATAAAATTTAAAAATAATAAAATAAAATAATAAAAAATAATAATATAAAATAATAATATAATAATAATAATAATAAAAACAATAAAAATAAAAAAAATAATAAAAAAATAATATAATAATAATAATAATAAAAAATAATAATAATAATAATAATAATAATTATAAAAAATAAAACAAAATAATAAAATAATAGACAATAATAAAAAGATAAAAAGACCTAACTAATAATAATAATAATAATAATCAATAATAAATAATATCAATGGTTATCTAAAATGTACGACAGTATAACATAACAACATCAAATACTTAATTCGAAAACATATGAGACTAAATCAAGACAAAAGACCGCTAAAAAGGATTCAAAGCTAATAAGATCAAGGCATAATGAACGGTAAGATCATAACAAAATACTTCTAACCAAAATAAAATAAGTGAAGAGAAATCAAGAGATCAAGACGTTAAGATCAAGGATCAATGAGACGAAGATAAGATCAATGAGACGTTAAGACAAGGATCAGTGAGACGTAAGATCAAGGATCATGAGACGTAAGATAAAGGATCATGAGACGAAATCAAGGATTCATGAGACGTAAGATCAAGGATCATGAGACGTAAAGAATCAAGGATCAATGAGACGTAAGATCAAGGATCATGAGACGTAAGATCAGGATCATGAGACGTAAGATCAAGGATCAGTGAGACGTAAGATAAAGGATCAATGAGACGTAAGATCAAGGATCAGTGAGACGTAAGATCAAGGATCAGTGAGACGTAAGATCAAGGATCAATGAGACGTAAGATCAAGGATCAATGAGACGTAAGATCAAGGATCAGTGAGACGTAAGATCCAGAGATCAATGAGACGTAAGATCAAGGATCAATGAGACGTAAGATCAAGGATCAATGAGACGTAAGATCAAGGATCAATGAGACGTAAGATCAAGGATCAATGAGACGTAAGATCAAGGATCAATGAGACGTAAGATCAAGGATCAATGAGACGTAAGATCAAGGATCAATGAGACGTAAGATCAAGGATCAATGAGACGTAAGATCAAGGATCAATGAGACGAAGATCAAGATCAATGAGACGTAAGGTCAAGATCAATGAGTCGTAAGATCAAGGATCAATGAGACGTAAATCAAGGATTCAATGAGACGTAAGGTACAATTATCAATGAGACGTAGATCAAGATCAATGAGACGTAAGTCAAGATCAATTAACGTAAGTCAAGGATCAATGAGCGTAAGATCAGGATCAAATGAGACGTAAGATCAAAGATCAATGATGACGTAAGATCAAGGATCAATGAGACGAAGATCAAGATCAATGGGACGTAAGATCAAGGATCAATGAGACGTAAGATCAAGGATCAATGAGACGTAAGATCAAGGATCAATTGAGACGTAAAATCAGGATCAATGGAGCGTAATCAGGATCAATGAGACGTAAGATCAAGGATCAATGAGACGTTAAGATCAAGGATCATGAGACGTAAGATCAAGGATCAATGAGACGTAAGATCAAGATCAGTGAGGACGTAAGATCAAGGATATGTAGAAGATCAGGATCATGAGACGTAAGATCAAGGATCAATGAGCGTATAGTCAAGGATCAATGAGACGTAAGATCAAGGATCAATGAGACGTAAGATCAAGGATCAATGAGACGTAAGATCAAGGATCAATGAGCGTAAGATCAGGATCAATGAGACGTAAGATCAAGGATCAATGAGGCGTAAGATCAAGGATCATGAGACGTAAGATCAGGATCATGAGACGTAGATCAAGGATCAATGAGACGGTAAGATCAAGGATCATGAGACGTAAGATCAAGGATCAGTGAGACGTAAGATCAAGGATCAATGAGACGTAAGATCAAGGATCAATGAGACGTAAGATCAAGGATCAATGAGACGTAAGATCAAGGATCAATGAGCTAGATCAGATCAATGACGTAAGATACAAGGATCAATGAGACGTAAGATCAAGGATCAATGAGACGTAAGTATCAGGATACATGAGACGTAAGATCAAGGATCAATGAGCGTAAGATCAAGGATCATGAGCGTAAGATCAAGGATCATGAGACGTAAGATCAAGGATCAATGAGACGTAAGATCAAGGATCAATGAGACGTAAGATCAAGGATCAATGAGACGTAAGATCAAGGATCAATGAGGCGTAAGATCAATGATAAGACGTAAGATCAAGGATCAATGAGACGTAAGATCAAGGAACAAGAGACGTAAGATCAAGGATCAATGAGACGTAAGATCAAGGATCAATGAGAACGTAGATCAAGGATCAATGAGCGTTAAGATCAGGATCATGAGACTAAGATCAAGGATCATGAGGCGTAAGATCAAGGATCAATGAGGCGTAAGATCAAGGATCAATGAGACGTAAGATCAAGGATCCAAGAGACGAAATATCAAAGATCCAAAAGACGAAGGATCAAAATGCAGAGGACAAGGATCAAAGAGCAAGAACAAGGATCAATTAGATCAAGGATAATGGATCAGATTCCAAGAGAACGAAGGATAAGATCAAGGATGAAGGTAAGATCGGCAGTAGGTAGGGATCATGAGTAAGAGATCAAGGATCAAGTAGAGTAGAAGGATAGATGAGTGAGATTAGGATCAAAGTGAGACGTAAGGATCAAGATCAAGAGTAGAAGGATCAGATGAGGCGATAGGAGTCAGATGGCAGTAGTGGTCAAGATACTGGTATATGTCAGGATAAGGGTAGATGGACAAGTAGAGTGGAATACTGGTAGTGGATAGTGTAGATGGCAGTAGTGGTGGAGATACTGGTAGTGGATAGTGGTAGATGGCAAGTAGTGGTAGAGATACTGGTAGTGGATAGTGGTAGATGCAGTAGTGGTGAGATACTGGTAGTGGATAGTGGTAGATGGCAGTAGTGGTGGAGATACTGGTAGTGGATAGTGGTAGATGGCAGTAGTGGTGGAGATACTGGTAGTGGATAGTGGTAGATGGCATAGTGGTGGAGATACTGGTAGTGATAGTGGTAAGATGGCAGTAGTGGTGGGATACTGGTAGTGGATAGTGGTAGATGGCAGTAGTGGTGGAGATATGGTATGGATAGTGGTAGATGGCAGTAGTGGTGGAGATACTGGTAGTGGATAGTGGTAGATGGCAGTAGTGGTGGAG